CCTTTGTGTTTTGCCTTCTGCATTTTTCTTCTCAGTGGAGGCCATCAACTGCTGATCAGGCAGTCAGGGCTGTTCAGCCCTGCCCACCACAGTCCCTGGGGGATCAGAGACAGGGGGCAGGACGGATGTAGCCTGGCACTGGTATAGGACTTGGCTGCCGGAAGCCAAGTAACATCTGAGATGAGCTGGGCTCCTATCTAACTGGCTGGGACTATTTATACCAGCGAGGTGCCCGAATGTGATGCCAGGGTCCCCTCCCCTTGGAGCTGGATAGAGATCATCTTTCCAGAATTGAAAGAAGAGACAGTGACTAACTCACCTTCAGAGGCTAATGGAGTTAAGAAGGGTGGAGAAATGGCTTCTTTCGACCTTCTAGTAGGTTAAGGGGGAGCTGGAGCAATTTCTAGGGACGTCTAGGATTTAAAATAAACGGGCCTTTATGAGTGATTTCCAATAATAAAAGAGTCATAACCCCATTACAGAAAACTTGTAAAAATACAGAAAAGTATTTTAAAAATCACTCATAATCCCAATCCTTGGAGAAACCCACTATTACTATTTTGTTAAAGTCCTTCCCTTTTCCTATGCATTCACATATGTATATAGATAATTTTTTTGGAAATCACAGTTTTGTAACTTGCATTTTCCATTCAATATTATCATGTGAGCCTCTTCCTATGTTATTACACACACAAAAATTGAGCATAATTTTTTATGTCTGCTTAATGGTCTCTATCCAGACCAAACAGGGATTTCCATGGCGTCCCCTGGAATATAGTCCTCGGGCACCCTGTCAGAAGCAGAATCTAGGGGTGACCGAGTGTGGCAGTGCTTCTTGCAATTTTATTTCCTCAAATTAGTCATCTTTAGAGACTGTGATGGAGCAGTACAACCCCCCAAAAGTAAAGCCCAGGTAGGATGGAGAAGGAAGCGATGACTATAAGCTTCATTTTCCAGGTGGGAAAATGGAGACTTTAGACTCAGGCATGGAGTTTTGATGACTTTGACTTAGGTACCACCTGGGGTGTTCTCAGGGCACCTGGGAGAGTAGCCTTGAGTGTGAGAGGAGTTGGTGGGGGTGAGGTATGAGCTCTGCATTGGTTTACATATGAAAGGGGTGCTCACAGGCCAGTGAGTGAGCCAGTCCCTGACTATCTCTAGCCCTGGAAGGGGCAGTCTCTCCTGGGTCAGCAAGGCCCCAGATGTCAAAGCATTAGAAGCACATAGTTAATCTATGGCGTCTGCGGCAGAGGTGGGTGATCGAGGACATCCCCACGTCCACACAGAACTCAGCGTGGGCTTTATCCAAGCGGTGGCAGGAGAGAGGTTTACTAATGGCCGCAGAAGGAAGATCCAGCCAGGGGAGAAACTTCCGGAGTTATTCACCTCAGCCCTGCCATCAACCAGATGGGGACTGTGAGCAAGCCTCTGACTCCCTGGGCATCCTCCGTCTGCTCTTGCCCTTTACGGCAGGAAAAAAGGCAAGAAAGGGGACAAGTAATTCTTGGGTATTTCCTGTGTGCCAGGCACTGTGCTAGCGTTTTCCCTGAAATTCTCATCAAGATCTTATCTTAACCCTGTTACACAGGGGCTGCATTTTTTTATGCTGATTTTAAGATGAGGAAACTAAAGGCTCAGAAAAGTGATGGGCTTAGGGTGGCCAATGAGGGGCGGCGGAGAAGGGATGTGAACCCCGTTCCGAGAGCTTCTCCCCCTGACCTGACAGCCACGGAGCACATAGCACAAGAGCACGTGGGATCACTGTGCTGCCTCGTTCTGTAGATGAGTGATGCTGGGGATTCAGGAGAAAAGGGCGATGGAGTGGAGGCTGTGGAGGGAAGGCAGGGTGGCCTTGTGGAGGGGCTGGCTGACTGAAGGGAGGTGCTGCTCGGTTTCAGCTTCCTCCTGTTTGTAGAGCATTGATTCATAGTGTCGTTCCGGCTTGGTTAGTGTGTGGGAAGCACTGAGGGAACCTTGGCACCAAATTTTACTGCTGGGTAGGCCTTTAAATATCACTGAGTTCAAACAGATTATTTTAAGAAGGAGGCAGCAGAGGCCCAGAGACGGGAAGAGATTTACCCAAAGTCACACAGCTGGTTTAGAGGCGCATAGCCAAGATGTGCCCACAAGTCTCCCAACTCCCTGAGCACTCTAGAGTAAGTCTCCTTGTAATTATCTCCCGCATTATTTGAATCTGGAGTTTTGCTGGTAGCAGCCTGTGTTCATGGCTTCAGATGACTCAGTGGGTTCCAAAGGGCTTAGTGACACTGGCTCTCATTGCAAATGATGATCTTTGTGATAAGACCAGACCTCACTTACTGTGGTGTGACTGGAAAACGACATGAGTTAGAGCCAAAGTCATGGACTTTATTAGTGGCCCCAGGCTGACCCCTGGAGTTGCAGGTAACAGAATCTATTTTAGTTAGTTCAAGCAGAAAGAGATTTATTAAGGGTACAGCTAGCTCAGAATCATTAGAAAGGCTAAAGAAAGGCACCAGGCAGAGCTTCCAAAAATGCCTCCCTAAACTGCATTGTTAAATGGGGCCACCATGAAAGCTGCTGCCTCTGATATAATCAGGAAGGTGCTGCCACCACTGCAGTTTCCAAGAGCCATGCCACCTCTGCCACATTCTGCACCAGCAAAACAATGCTTTGAGCCTTATCATTCTTCTCCTATAACACCGCTCTGAATCAGCCTTTTGATTGGTTGAACCTAAATTGCATCCAAAACCCTAGCTGCAAGGGAGTCTGGGAAATGTCATTTTTTAGCTTTTCTGCCTCTGTAGTACAGAAGGTACAGAGATAACAAAGATAGAATCCCTGTGTTTAAGATCCTCTTAGTTTGGAAGGGCAAATGGACATATAAACAGACTATTTTAATGTGGCATAATTTGCTCGAGTTTAAGAGACAATGTACAGAGGGACCTTGGAGGTGGGGGTCAGAGAAGGCTTCCCAGAAGAGGGGGCATTTGAGCTGGGTACTGAAGGGTCAGTATGAGTTTTACGGTTGAAAATGACAGAGAAAAGAGTTTCAGAACACAAGAGAAGCAGAGAGAAAACTGAGCATGATATTTTGGGGCTCCCCAATGCCTCCTTCTTATTAACTCTGCTTCAATTATTTTATGACAGGAGAACAAGGAACCAACTTATTTTGTAAAGAGGAGCTGGTTTGTTGTATAAAATGTTTCAATGTTTTAAAATATTATTTTAAATTACTTAAATATATAATTGTAATACTTTAAAAATTAACTATTAAATTATATTAAAGTTATTAAGAACAGATCATTATAAGTATAATATTTTAAAAAATATTAAATATGAAATTATTTTTTAAAGTTATTTATAAAAAACAAATATTTTAAAAGTTATTTAAAATACACATATTTTTAAAAGAAGCAATAAAATGCTTGGGGTAACACAATTTAGATTTCTAAGGCAGCATGTACCTAAGTGTAAGTTAGACGTGTGAGAATACCTGTGAAATAACTGCTGCCACATGTTGGGAAGGAGCCTGGGAAATGCTCGAGGGACGACTTTATTTTAAATCCTTGCTCATGGCTTGCAGGGCCCAGGAGGAACCCTCAGGCACCACTCCCACTTCTGATTCTCCAAGGCCACTGACTCCACATTTCACGTGGCTTGACCTTGACCCTGTAGGCTTCTTGATTCTGATGTTGAGACTGTCAAGGTATTCAACTCTCCCAGCTTAATCTGCCCCAGCCTCTTCTGAACAACCTCCAGAAAAAGGCAACATGAGGAGAGGGTGCCCTGGGTGCCCTGGGAGGCCCCAATCTGCCTCTGGCAGTGCCCTGCAGTGAACTACCTACTGTGTTTTATCTCTGCGGAAACCCTCCGCCAAGGCCCCATCAAGCAGATGCTCTTCCTTCCCTGGGCCAGTACGAACTGTCAGGTGTGAGGAGGGGAGGCCCTAAAGGTCTCCTTGTCCAGTGGCTGTGGGAGGCCAGAGGGCTCTTTCCGGGGGACACCAGCTGTCCTTGTAAGTGAGTGGACAAGAGCAGCCTTGACTCAATGTGCAGGTTCACGTTCCAGCTCTGCCACCTGCTAACTACATGATTCTGGGCAAGTGAGTTAACTCCCGGAGCCTGTTCTCATGCTTACGACGATCACTTTCCTCATAGGCTAGTTCCAAAGATGAAACGTGAATGCCTCCATGTCAAGTGCTAGGCCCCACACTTAGCTCGTGGTAAGGGGCCAGCAAGCATTGGCTGAAATTGGTATTGTTATTCTGCATGAAGCTGCAGAAGGGACACTGAGGTGGCTCTGACATGCCCGGAACCAGCTGACGTATGGGCCCCCTCTGCAGCGGGACCTAGACCAAGCTAAGCCGTACAATGACAGTGGGACCTGGAGCTCTATCTGCTTAGCCTCAGTTTTCCCAGCTGCCAAATGGGGAGAAAGAAATGTCAGTCTCACCTAGTCACAGCGTGGACCTGAGAATCAAGTGAGCTGATGGAAATAGAAATGCTTGTAGGGCAGGCAAAGCAGTAGATCTCAGCTATGCTTGTGGCTGTCATCATGTGACTCTCCCAAAAGGAGGTTAAGGGGGCAGGAAAGGGCAAGACCAGCTGAAGGCAGCAGCCTCACTGCCCACTCTCAGTGTTGCCTCCTTCAGTGACCGATCACAGGAAAAGCCAGAGCGAGAGTGCGCACAGAGCACCCTCCTCCTTCCCTGTCCTTCACACCAACTTAGAACCAGAGCTGCTTCTGAATGTCATGATTTGCTGAAATGGGGTCACGCTCCTACAAATGCCTACACTCCCAGGGTGTTGGGGATGCTGTGGGTAATCAGCCATCCAGTGATCAAGCTGAAGGTGCCAGTGGTCCTGGAGCCACCCACCAGGTCGCCTGCTGGGTGGGGCTGGTTTGCTCTATCTGTTTGACAAGGACAGACCCCCTGCTCCCCAACAAGAGCCCCGGCAGGCCCCCGAAAGTCAGGCCTGCTTCTCTGCGTAGTAACCTGTGTCCCTGTTGGTTCCCAGGTACTTTGAATTTTACGAGGGTCCTTTAGAATATAACTCCACAAGATGCCTGGAGCTGAGGCACGAAATCTTGGAAGTGAAGGTGCTGTCCATGTGAGTGTGGCCGGAGTGGGTGGTGGGGGCAGGGCGCATGTGCGGGTGGGCCGGGGTGGAGGGCAGGGTGGGGATTTGGGCAGAAGGAAACAGGACACGTGGTGGGTCCCGACAGAGCAAGAATTAAGTCTGCTTACCGGGACCCTGGCATTTGGGGAGCCCTGGACAGCTGCATGCAGGGGTGACTGTGTGTGTTCTGTGAAAAAAATCCAAGTTTGCAAGGTCACCTATGGTGACTCGGGCCTTTCAGTCCCCGGCTGAGTTACCAGTCTCTGAGATTATCATCACCGGGCTACTCGTGTACAGAAACTGAAGAGGGCATGGGAGCATCTTACCTGAAATTCAGTCCTTTGTGCTGCCTTCTTGCCATCGCCTTTAAAAATTGTACGTTCATAGGGCCGGCCGAGTGGCTCAGTTGGTTAAGAGCTCGCTCAAGAGTTTGAGCTCTGAGCAACAGCGGTTCGAGTCCAGCCCCTGAGCTGCCAACAGGTAGCAGGATGGCTCAGCTTAAAAAAAAAAAAAAAAAAATTGTACGTTCATTAACATGTTGTATTGTTTTTGTTATTTAAATAATACAACATTCAAGAGGTACAAAAAGAAGTATAGTGAAAAGTCCTACCCACAGCCCCCTACCTCCCCTCAGAGACAACCCGTGGGTCCTTGTACCTCCTTCCAGAAAGTCTGCAAAACCCAGCGCCTACGTATAGATCTTCCTCACTTTTTCTCTTTTTCTACGTAAATGGCAAAAAAACTGTACACTCTCTTTCCCACTGAACAATACATCATCTGTGGCTCTTTTACGTCCTATTGGAGGAACAGCACGTCCCATGCTGAACATTTTAGTGTGTGTGTGTGTGTGTGTGTGTGTGTGGACCCCAATTTTCCCTCCCTCCTAGGACTGCCATGAATTCAGTAAACCCACTTAGAGGAACTTGTGTTGTGTTAATCATGACAGGATGCATATTTATCTGAAAATAGTTATATCTGAATGTTGAAAAAAATATAGTTCATTCACAGCCAGGCAGTGTTGGGCGTTTGTGAGGACTCATGGGCCCCTGACATGCCCCCTGGGACCGCTGTCCATGCCCCATAGGCAGCAGCCATTGCTCCTTGAGCCGTCTGGCCTGATTTCCAGGTCGTGTGGGTCACAGAAAGAGCCTGGGCCTTGGGGGCCGGCAGATCTGGGATCCAAAGCCAACTCTGAGCCTTACCAGCTTTGCATCTTTATACAAATGACTTAACCTCTCTGAGCCTTTCCTTACAAAAATGGGGACCTTGTATCTAGGTTTTAAGGGTTGCCATCAAGACTAGCTGAAATAATGTATGAGAAAGTTGGTAGCCCAGCAGTCCACATACAATAGGTGCTCAGTAAATGTTCATGTGCCTTCTCCCTTCCCCTTTCTCTCCCTCTGCAATCACCACCAACAGCAACAGCTTTCCTGGCTGTCATTCAGCCTTCATAAGCTTAGTAGCTGCAGGAAAGTTCCAAGATAAGACTAAACGTCCAACTGGGATTAGCTGCATTGTTTATGGTCTCTGTACTAACCAAGGGGCTGTGTTCCCTCCCTGGAGATAAACACTTGAGGCAGCTCACTCTCCTAGCTCACTCTCCTGCCAATCCTACGCAGCCCTGAGCAGAGGACACACTGTGGTACCTCTCCTCATGGAGATCACAGCCTGTGGGGGGTGGCGGGGGGAGTGGGCTGAGCTGATTACCCTGGGAGACAAGGGGATGCAGGGAACGTGACCTGGGCTGGGGCAGGGAAGGGTGGTGAGGCAGGGCTTCTCTGAGGAAGCGGCGCTTGCTCTGTGGTCTGAAGGGTAATAGGAGTTAAGTAGGCCAGGAGGATTCCAGGCAGAGGGAACAGTTTGTGCAAAGGCCCTGTGCCAGAAAGGGTCCTGCTGTGTCCCAGGCTCTGAAGGGTCAGGGCAGCTTGGATGCCAGCATGAGAGGGGATACGGAAGCTGTGTTGCTAGAGGGGCTGGCAGGGGCCCGACCTTGCGGGGCCTTGTAGGGCAGACCCAGGTTTAGATTGTATCTTTATCTGAGGGCGCTGAGAACCCATGGAAAGGGTTTTAAGCAAGTGGTGG